CCTCGCACCTTCGCCTCCCACTACATGACACCTCACTGGCTGACAGGTGGGCTGCAGGCCCCACGGATCGATAAGGCCCTGTCAAGGACCGGTTAAGGGCCCCGCATCCACTGGACTGGCAGAGGAGCTGGCTTCATGCAGATTGGACACTACAGTGACAGCAGCGTCTGTACGGCAGATCAGCTTCAGGTAGAGCGGGTCGTCTCCTAACCAGAAGATTAGCAGTTCGATTCCCAACTTGTCCAGTCCCCATGTCAAATGTCCTTGAGCAAGACACTGAAGTTGCTCCCAGTGATGACACTGGTGTGTGAAAGTGTGTGTGTCTGGGAGCGCGAATGGCTGAATGGCCAAATAGTGTGAAAGTGCTTTGAGTGTGCTGCGATGCATAGAAAGGCGCTAAATGAGTACAAGACCATTTGCCATTTTACCAGACAGGCTGAAGGACTCGGTGCCACTTCACCAGCAAGGTCTCTCTGGTTTTTTTAAAATTCCTGGAGAACAAATGAAAAGTCTGAGACAAAACCAGAGACTGCCTAGATCTGCCAACAAGTCACTTTTTCAGTTTTTTTTTTCATGCACACCCTGATCTAAAGATACAGGACTTGGTAATCGTGCTTTGACGAGGATCCTCATAATCCCAAGTGTCTGACTTTAAACTTGCAGACAGGTGACAAAGGAAACACCTGAATAAATGAAGACAGGACCGGACTGATGAGGATGACCATGATGTGACTCAGACGCTGTGGCCTCCACAGTCCCCAGGTCTCAGCCCAGGTGAACAGCTTTGTGTTCACCCCTCCAGGAGAGTCAGTGCCAGGGTGGAGCTGTTCTGGTGACGGGTGGTGGCCACGGCACCTCGCTGAGAAACCAAGCCTTATCCCACAAACAGCCCTTTAAAGACATGAGGAGCAGACTTGACGTCCTCTCGTTCCAACATGATCTTTCCAGAACAGCTCTTCACTTTCCAAAGTGTCCACACTTTTCTAAAAACAAACCCACTTAGAAATATTTTTGCTTTCAAAAAATGTTTCCATCTTGTGAAAAATTATTTTTCCAGAATGACCTCACTTCATAAAAACTGTCCTTTCTGTCCAAAGTGTCCACTTTCTAAAAATACATCCACTTTTTGAAAATAAAACCTTTTTTAAAAAAGGTTTCACTTTACCCAAAACTCACTATAAAGGTGACTGGCAGATGTTTGCATCAGGAACGATGATGTATAAATATTGACTGCCACATCTACACACACACCATGATGTGTGTGTGTGTGTGTGTGTGCGTGTCCCTGATGCAGTCCACATCCCTTCTGGTCAAACTGGAGCATTTTAATCCAGAGGAACAGAGCCAGGATCAGGATCAATAATGCAGAAGTGGTCGTTATCCTGAAAGTATTGTCCCCCAGGGCTGTGTGTGCAGGGTGGAGGTCTGTTTTGACTATAAAGGTGGATGAGGTAGTGGTAGGTCATCGTAGGAAACCAGGGAGGACACACACACGCGCACACACACTTACTGGAGTTCATTTACAACCACCAGGGTATTACAGAAAACACACACACCTCCGCTCAGCAGTCATCCGTCATCTGGATGCTGACATGACAGCTCGGTGGGGGTGAGGGGAGTGAGGAGGGGGTCGTCATCCTGGGGCGGCGCCCGCCATCTGGCAGGGAATTCTGGGAAGGTTGGAGGAGGCTGAGACCACCAGAGGGGAGGTGGGAGGTGGTTGGAGCTGGTTGGAGGCCATGTTTGACTTTGCTGGTGTGGTGGTCCACTCGGGGAGTGGAGGAGGGGGGTGAACAAAATAAAAACAACACCTGCACACTGACATAGCTGTTAATGAAACAACTGGTTCATTCACACAGTGAACTGGTTCCCAGTTCCAGGTCCAGGTCTCAGTTACAGGACAGTTTACACAGACCAAATGGATTATTTATATACGGATTGACGTTAACTAGTCTACATGTGTGGTTAACTCAGCGGTTACCAACCTGGGGGAGCCCAGAGTGAAGCCGGGGGGGCTACAGTGGCTAAATATAACTGACATGTATGGTGGTGGTGATGGAGGGGGTCAAAAATATTTTTACCAACAAAAAGGGGGCCCAGTAGGACAGGTCTGGGAGCCGCTGAGGGAACTGGTTTAAATGTGAGCTGACTTCTTATTTATAGCAGGCAGTAATGAGCCGGGACACACTCCAGTGAGAACATCATGGCAGTTTAACGTGATGGAGTACAACAGTCCTCCACCTGAGGAGATGCTGCTGACTGGGTTGTTCTCAGCTCCTCACCTGTCGCTGTCTGTCTCTGTCCTTCCAGCCCATCCTGTACGAAGGTCAGGACAAGAACCCGGAGATGTGTCGCGTCCTCCTCACCCACGAGATCATGTGCAGGTAAGACCCACACCGTAGTTAACCCTAACCCCAGTGACCTCTCAGTGGCCGTGTCTCTGCCGTGCTCAGTGGCACTGAGGCAGGACAAACGACTGTTGACGAACCCGGTGGCACTCCTCTACTGTACACTGACATGTACCTGGGGTTGAACAGTGTGCTGTCAAACTCTGTCTCCACTGCATGTGTGTGGGTAGGTTTTTGTTGATACACGTCTGCGGGGGGTGTTAACAATGCTGCAGAGGAAGCGTCCGAGTGTTTTAACAGTGTAGTGGTCACGTCCTGGATTGTCAGAGGAGGCTCAGCGCGTTCTGCTGTTGCACAGAGGTCAGTGTTCAGCATCATTCCTCAGCTCGTAGCAGACTGGCTAATGCTAACTGTCAGCTGGGGCTACAGTTAGAAGCTGTTTGCTTGTTACTCTTGCTGTGGCAGGTGCCTTCAGCTGTGGGGACAACATTACAGTTGTATTCAAATCCAAGCAGACAGAAACGAGCGAAATCTCAGCAGCAATCTTAATGTTTGCACTGAAGAGCCTCTCAGGCTAGAGACTGAGAACCAGCTGACACCATAGATTGTGCCTTCCCGCTCTTGGCCCCTCCTGTCCTGGTTCCTGAAACTAAGATGTGAACTACAGATGCCTGGTTGGGACAAACTGTACAAACTGCAGCCTCCAGCCTGAAGCTAGCGTTAGCTGTCTGACAGCAGCACTGCAACGACACAGTGTCAAGTGACGAACTTGACGGTCCAGCCATGTATGACCCAGAGTTTTTATGTATAGCTGACGTTGTTTACTGAGTCGGCTAGGCTAATTCAGCTGTTAGGTCGCATCATGACGGTGATGGCGACACCTGAACTACAAATGAGCTAAGGAAAGGTTCGATTACTGAGTGCACAGATAAAGAGGCAGAGTTTGTGTTGGCTTTATTGTCACGCTGACAGAGAGTCGAGTGATGCCAGTGGGACTTTTAGCCGGCCAGAGCTCCTCCATGGAGGCTGGAAAAACCCATCTTCTAACCTTGGCTAGGCGGCAGGCGGGGCAAATTTACAGACCGTACTTTGCCAACACAGGGTGGAGAAGCTGGAATAACAACAGGAAGGTCATGGAGGGGGGTGTAGCTGGGAGACACCACGTCCCACTGTCACTGGGGTTACCAGGCAGAAAATGTGCAGATTTTCTACTTCTTGGGGTCTTATCGTCTAGCAAACAGAATCTCTGTGGACTTTGGACAAAACAGCACATTTAATACCATTGTTGAAGTTGTCTGGTGCTGTTGTTGTTGTTATTCCCATTTCCTCCTGTGCTCTTTGAGGACCTCTCATTCATGTTGGGTTAAATGTTGTGGTTTGTAGCTTCGTTTGTCTAAGCCTACTTATGTCAGTTGTACCGTTCCCACTGCGTTAACGTTTTACTCGTCTTATTTTTCTTACAAGTTATTTGCTGTCATAGTGTGTGTGAATAGAAAGACTGAGAACAATCAACAGTTTTCTGTGTCAGTGTTAAAATATATGCACTTCTGTGCTCATTAGAATTTTACTATTCTGTCTTACTTCTGACTCTGAGCTGTGTTTAATGTAAAGATGCATTTTTTTCCTAATTTGATTTTTTTAAGCGAAAGCACTCGGCGTCACGTGAGGCCAGCTGGGTTGGTGTGTGTCTTTAATAGAAAAAAGTGCAGCTGCTGGTTTGTCGTTCATCACACCAATCAACACATTTCCTGCCCTGCGTGTCTCTGCTGTTGACTGAGTTAATGGTTTTACTGGTTCAGACCGAGGAGTGAAGAAGAGGAGTGAGGAAGGGGGGTTAAAAATAGGACACACATGTAAACACGACTGAAGCTGGAGCCTCGTTGTGTAGTCGTGCACAGATACGTTCTCTCTCTATGCAGACCAGGAAACATTCAATTGTACATTTTTTAAAATCACAATTAAGTCTCGTTAGTTCAAACAACCAGTGTGCACGGTGCACTGGTTCCTGTTCACGATACACTGGTGGAACTTTGCTCATCCGTACACGTATGTGTGCCGTGAACTAGCTGACGTGTAGCAGACTGGTTTCTGTAAACCTGTCTGTGATGAACCTGTAGAGTAAACTGGTCTATATGTGCGGTTAGCTGGTCGACCTCTGAGGTTTACTGGTGCACATCTGCAGTGAACTGGTTGCCCTCCAGAGTAAACTGGTTGTAATGTTTGTAAGTTTGTATAGATTTAGAGTAAACTAGATGAACAGGAATGTGGACTCTTGGTGTTTTGCTTTTAGTCATCACTTGTATTTTTAAATTTATATATTTTATTGTGACACGTTTAGTTTTTTTGCAAAGTGTCCGTACCATCGGTGGAAGAAGTACTCGGGTCCTTTACTGAAGTAAAATTAGTAGTATCACTGTGCAAAGAAACTGTGTTCCAGTAAAGGTCCTGCATTCAAAGTACAAAAGTATCAGCTTCCAAATATAATTGAAGTACCATCAGTACCAGTACTGGTCCAGCAGAACGGCCCGTGTCCCAGTAACGTCTCTGATACTGGATCATAGTGACTAATTACTGTGTCCATCACTTTAATGCTGCAGCTGGTAAAGGTGGAGCTGATGGTAACTACCTTATATACTTATACTGGGAAGTACTTTACATCCTACTGGGTAGCTGGTGGATTTCTCACTGGGATCAATAGAGTCTGATGGTTCTACTGGGTTTGGTTTGATTCATCTGGTTCTGGACCTGAAGGTATCAGGTACATGTAGTGTAGTAAAAAGTACACGGTCTGTCTCTGACATGGAGTCACAGGATGAAGGAGCAGGATGTGGAAGTACTCAGGTAAAGTACAGATAACTCAAAACTGTACTTGAGTAAATGCACTGGTCCTTACTGGAAGATTCTGCACAGATTAAATGGCACCAGTCTGGACTGCAGACATCTGAGGTGGTGGTGCAGTTTGAGCTGACCTCCCAGGTTTTATCTCATCCTCTTCTTCACCCGAACTCTTCCGTCTCTAAACTTCCATCCTCCTCTGACTTTTCTCAGGGCGTCGGGCTCATTTCCCCCCCTGTGAGATTCCTTCGATATGAGCTTCATTTCCATAATGACGGCGGGCTGTCTGCGTCTCGGAACTTCAGTCATTATGTGATTGAGTGCGATTATTAACCAGCTTTCCCCCTGATGGCTGCTGTGTTTTCATTCGCTAATGAGTGAGGGATCAGAGACCAACTCACTGTTTCCATCTCCGTCTCTCTGCCGTCATGCTCCCAGGTGACATCGACTTTGTGGGCGTCCCTGTTGGTTTGTTTACCTGGATCACACTCAGTCGGCTGCACCTTTGGGTGGTGCATGTCTTTGGGTGTACGGGTGGAGGAGAGCACCCTGTTGTCTCCTCATTAACATCTTTTATTCTAGATTTTTTTTAGACAGAAATATTGTATATTTGACCCCACTGCATTTACTGGTTACTGTGGTAAAATCTCCACAATATGACCTTTTAGAGGCGTTTGTTTTCTTCCCAGTGACACACTGGGCCTCATGTCCCACATGTAGGAGTGGGAATTCTGCTCCTTATTATCATCCATGATAAATGTAGAAAGGCTGTACTTGTATGTTTTGTTTTGCCCGTTTTGATTAGCATATTTAAGTGTACCCAGTGTTTAATACTGGCCTTTTCCAGTCCAGACTGGTGCCATTTAATCTTTAGTTTTATTTATTCGTCTTTTATCAAAATGTCTAAGAGTCTCTTATCATTTCCTTGAGTTTGCAAGTGTCCCTGAAACCACCAGTCAGTGTGTGAACTGTCTGATGGACAGCTGACTTAGATGGAGCCAGAAGCAGTAGCCTGATGTGCTAATGCAGAGGTTTATAGTGCACGGCAGACCGTTCCACACTATAGTTAATTATTGCCACTGGGCAGGAATCATGTATGTTATTTAGCTGACATGTGGTGATGTGGCTGCTCAGAAAAACATGTTCCTGCAGTGTAAAACATTCCCAGATGGGTCTGCACTGGTATTAATGGTTGTTAGAAATGGTCAGTGCAAACTCCTGAACAACCACAACCTCTGTGCAGAGTAGACTGGCCATAACTCCAGCTTCCCACATCCCTGTGTGAACATATTTGTTCTTAACTTGTAGTAAGAACTATTTCATGTTTCCATTTGTCCTTCAGGTATTAAGGAAAGTGACGTCTGTCGTAGTCTGTGGTCATCTGGGGAAAACACTTGACTTAAGAATTCCCTGAATCTGAACTGAGCTTGTGAAATCAGTTTAAATTAAAATTGTTTGCCTGATAAAAACCTGGATTAATTCAGGATACTCCTCCATTTTCTCATCTTGTTTCAGGAATCTTTCACAATAGAAACAAAGAACTATGACATGATCTTCCTCCACTGTGTGTGTGTGTGTGTGTGTGTGTGTGTGTTTGAGCTGTGACCTTTCCATTGTGTCATTGCAGCACATTAACTATTTTTAAATCGGCCTCTGCTGTTTTCCAAAACTACCAGTCCACAACTGAGCGAGCAGAAGTGGCGGTGGCAACCAGCTTGGCACAGCAGTGTTGCCAGCGGGCTCCCGGAGGCTCCCGCCTAGCTGGTCCAGGCCTTCGGGTAATTACAACACTTGCCCTTTGAAAGCGAGCCCTGTGCTGCCGGCCCGTCCTGCTCGGTGATATCTGGATGCTGTGATCGGAGCGCCAGCCTGTGACGCCCTGCTGCACCGTGGTTGGGGACTCTTTGAGGGGCTCTCTCAGTTCTGTGTGTGTGAGTGACGTAGAGTCGACGGGCCCAAACAAACCTTCTCTTTGTACTTTAAGTAGATTCCACTTGCACTTGTGGCGACGACGGAAGTGGCTGCTGAACGGCGAGGAGGAGCTGGTACTGGCACTGGTACTGTAATGATGCTTCTGTGGCCCGGCCGAGGCTCGCCGGCCAAACTGGCTCCTGTGCCCTGAGTGTGTGTGTGTGTGTGTGGAGCCTCTCTGCAGAAGCAGTGAGGGACAAACTCTCTCCGCCAAAATGAGTGACAGCAACCACAAAACACACACTGTTTGTGTTATTTTTGCCAGGATTTTAGCCATGTGCGCGCGCACACACACACACACACACACACACACACACACACACACACACACACACACACACTCCCTCTCAGGTCTGTGTGTTGTTCCTCTCAGTCATTAGCCGGCCGTGGTGTTAGCCTGTTTGCGGCCCGGGGGGAAACGTCATTAAGGCGATATTGTGGACGCTCAGCCAAGGTTTGTTTTCGTCTTTGGAAAGGGGCCCCGGGTCCCTGGAGGGGCCCCAGCAGTGCTCCTGGGGTCCAGTTTGTTTATAACACTTCTTTGGCAGTTTGGAGGAGGTTGTCATCACAGCAGCACCAGTGGGTTTCCAATGCTAATTGGTCTCCTGGAACTTTCACTAATGGTTCCAAGTAGCTGGGGGAATAAATTATTGTGGCGCATTCTGTGGCAACAGTCACACATACACATGCACACAGAGACAGCGGGGACACAAACACAGCGCTTAGTTTATGATTTTTCTGTACTTAGAGATCAAACGGTGTGATAAATGATTCATAAAGCGTCTCATTTGGCATTCGCAGCCTCGATTTGACGCTTGTTTGTCAAATGGCAATTTGATTCAGGACAGCATGGGGCGAATGCAGGAGCGTAATTGGACGTCGCAGGTCACATGCAATATGATAAATTTTTAAGAATTACTGGGAGATATGTTAATGACCCTCACGGCGATAAGAAAGACCTGAAGAAGAGAGAGGCGTGGGTTCAGTGTGCAGAGCAGCTTGTCAGAGGGGTTCCGGCAGAAAAATTAGATCAGGTGTCAGGAATGTGTTGCTGTTAATGATGGATGGATCGCTCCTGTCACATTTACATTTCAGAAAACTCCAGCACACACTGACGCTCGGTGTTCTAGATTAATTTAGACATATTTCCTACATCTCTGTCTTGTTGGAGGCTGAAACATGAAACATGTTTCCTCTGAGGCTGAATGTGTTTGACTGAGGACATGAATCTGTTTCCTGCATTTAGGTAAAAGTATTACTGTATATGCAAATAGCATCTGAAATGTGAAAAGTAAAAATACAAAAGTAAAACAACTTGTGCAGCAGAACGACTCCAGTCACTGTTACATTATCATTTACTGTGGTATTATAACGGGGACATATAATGTCTCTGTTTGGGCTGGAGCTCATTTAAATTTGTTCGTACACTGGTGGGCAATTTAATCTATAACAATACAATTTAATTGTCATTATATTTTCCAATGTAAATAACCACATGTGGCAAAATCGAATTACATGGCCTGAGTCAGACCCTGAAAACTAAAAAAAGACCTGACACCCAACCTCACTTTGAAACAACATCCTGCTCAAGCTAATGACAAACATCATGAGATAAGTGTGAACCCAGTCAGCTCAACAGCAAGTGTACTTAGAATCGACAGCAGCCAATCAGGGAGAAGAAATAAAGGTGTGATGATACTTCAGATTATCACAAGAAATGACTGTAAATATGTCACAGGAAAGACACAGCGAGACTCAGGCGTTGTTTCCACATGTCAAGATCCTCTTTTTCTCCCCCTCACTTTCATCTCCACCTCTGAACAGAGCACAGACAGACGTTGATATGTTCATCTGGCTCTCCACTGTTAAACTATACAAGCAGCAGGTGAAAACAGGCCCTTCTTTGCCCTGGGTTTTGCCTCTCAGGCTGCACAGAGACCACTGCTCTGTGTAATGAACCCCTCAGACCTCTCGGGTGGTCTGGGACAGATGCTCTTCCTGTCTGCAGAGTCAAAACTAAACCTGGAGAGCCTATGCTGAGTTGTACCCCTTTAAATCCTACATAAAGCCTAATCTAACTGCCTTTCATGTCTTACAGCACTTTGAGTTGTTGTTGTTGTTGTTGTCCTATGAAGTAAGTGTTTTTCTGAAAACATTTTGAAACCAAACAGCTTTCACCAAGAATCAGTTTAATAAAAATAAAAAAAGGAAATAAATCTGTGCTGCCTTTTCTGAAAACTTCTTTAAAATGTTATTGTATTTGTAAATTGAATGTATTAACAGTATTAAATGCTAATTAATTAGGTGAATAGTGTATAATGACTAGTTTAGGACTTGTTTATACAACATACAGTGGGTACGGAAAGTATTCAGGCCCCCTTAAATTTTTCTCTCTTTGTTATATTGCAGCCATATGCTAAAATCATTTAAGTTCATTTTTTTCCTC